TGAGTTCGAGGCCAGCCTGGGCTACCAAGTGAGTTCCAGGAAAAGGTGCAAAGCTACACAGAGAAACCCTGTCTCGAAAAACCAAAAAAAAAAAAAAAGAAAAAAAAAACATTATTCATGTCCAAGATGCAAAAAATTCTAGGAGGATTGCGTAGAAAAGGAGAAAAGAAATATTCACAATCCATTCCTCAGTTTTGAAATTTATTCTTCAGTTTGATATCTGCAAAAGCTACCTGGATTAAATATAATGTCGGCATCGCAATTCTCTAGTGGTTTGAGAAAACTGCAAAATATTTGTCTTTGTCAATTGCTACCTGTGGAAGGAAATTTAGACACTATCAGAAAACTCTTTATCATTGAGATTTTTCACTTCTATCTTCCATCGTGGTTGGAAGTGGCAAGGGGACGATGTATGAAGCCACCCCCAGATTCCTAGCCACATTTCTGTCTTACTGATTCTTACCGTTGGGTATTTGCCTTCTCTGTGAATCTGTAGAGGATAAAGTGTGGCAGTACCAGAAGAAACCACTCTGGGGCTGGGTATTTAGCGCAATGATTTCAATGGCACACTCTTTACCTAGCACATGCCAAAAACCTGGACTCAATCTTCAGCAGGAAAAAAAAATATTGTACACACAAAAACATTGACAGATGACACATGTGCCCGAAGATGGTGTTTCAAAAGTTCTTTTGTCGTCTCTGGTGTCAAATCCTTGTAGCATCAGCGCTGGGTAGGCTGCACTGGGGGCTAGCCAAGGATACATAGTAAGACCCCGATACCAAAAGAATACAAACAAAATCCCCTTTCCATACATTATCCACTTTGGAGAAAAAGCCATCAATCATAGATTTAGAATTCAAAGTCGGCACCAGGACGTCACACAGATGACAGTCCAGCTCCCTCATTCCGGGAAACTTTAGTCAAATAATTTCTCTTTTTGGAGCCTATCTCAGTTTTTCATCTATAAATGAATGGACCAAGCAATCTCTCAGATCCCCTGCAATCTGAACACTGAGGTGGGGGAGGGAGTTGTTTTGTTTTTCGTTTTTGTTTTTATTTAGGACAGAGGAGAAGCTGTTCCCGCATTAATGTTTCTAGGGTCAGAAATATGAGAGCAGTAGGAATGAGTGGAAGCGGGGAATGGGAAAGAGACACAACCCGAGTCAACTTAAGTGGCTTTTTGCACTTACTGGGCAAGCAGCGAGGTGGTTGCTAGGCAACTGCATCTCCTGTACGCACGGAGGCCCCCAGCCACGGTGTCTAAGTCACTACCTGCTTTTTTTGTTTGTTTGTTTTTTTAAGAACGGTGGCTTTTTAAAATTAATGAAATCTATGGTCTTTAAAAGCGCACATTTTTGTAGTCAATTCTGTGCAAACTCTCTGGCTGAGGTCGGCGCATGGCAGCTTTTCTTTGCCCTGTTTTCAGGCACGCTGTGGACACCCCTTAGGCCAGGCCCTGCCGCTGCGCGTTGCCCGGCAGAACCCGACGCTTCCCGCTCGCTGCTTCCGGACCCCGCCCTCCCTGGGCTGGGCTCTGGGCCCTGGACCCCGGGTCACTGGAACTTTGTACGGGGCCACCATGGGCTCGGAGATGGAGCCCCTGCTCCGGGCCTGGAGCTATTTTAGACGCAGGAAGTTCCAGCTCTGCGCCGATCTATGCACGCAGATGCTGGAGAAGTCCCCTTATGACCAGGTACCTGCTGGCCCCAGGCAGTCTGTGGATTCTCTTGCTATGGCCATGGGCTCTGGGGAATCCCTCTGTCCCCTGGGGGAGGCCTGGGAGGAGGGCCCTAGGCAAAGTTGCCTGTGTGGACCACAGAGGCACCCGGAGCAAGACTCGGTGGAGTCCTGGATGGCAGGCCCCTGGCCTTTGCATCTCCGGGGATCCTGAGTTCTGTTCCTTGACAGCTCCTGCTGTAAACTACAGCACCCCCTTTTCCAGAATTAGTTACATTTAAAGGGACTCTGTTAAGTTTGTGGGGAGCTTTGATAATTCATTGGTCATTCACTGGTCAGACTCTTGACGTCGTTGATTTCTAAAAAGGAAAAATATATGTGAACAAAGATCTGAGACGCTGCCCCTTTTAAACACAGCTATCTTTTGGTTCAGATGAAGCATGTGCTCGCCCTACCTCATCTTTAGATATCTGTCCAAGTGTCAAAGAGCTGTTGTTTCTGAGTCATGAGTTCAACTTGAGACAAGATACAGGATATATAGGATATACTTATTTTTTTAAAGAAGCTACCTGGGCAAGAGAAACTATACTTGTAGGAGGGAAAGATAAAACAGGAAGCCTCCTAAAAGAGGAAATGATAGTGGTGATTAAAAACAAATTTAACAGTCCAGCATGAGGGTAAGGTAGAGGCAAGAGGATCAGTAGTTTACAGCCATCCTCAGCTGAGTAGAGAGTTCAAGGCCAGCCTGGTGAGCCATGTAAGAACCTGCCTTTAGAAAGAAAATAACAATACAGTAATGTTGTACAGTAATTAATGAAAAGGGTAATAATGAATGGGAGAGGTACAGTGCCATTGAGCAAGTAGCTCCTGGAAGAGAGAAGAAGAAAAATGGGAGATTAAGAGTAGAACTGTGGCAATTTGGTAGTGCTTCAGGTACATGCACTGTCCCTGTACAGTTTTGGCTCCCCCCTCTTTCCTCTAGTGGCATTGCGTTGTAGTTGTTAGGAAAAGGGGGTAATGTAGGGAGTGAGAAAAGCAAGGGCCTGAGTGTGAAGGTTTTTACTAGGCTCTGCACTCTCTGAGCAAATGGATGGAGGTAACCTAGTCATTGCACGTGACCTGCACATCTCAGTGGTGATGCTCAGCTAGCTTCTCTTCTTGTTATTCGTGCTCATTAAAGGACTGGGCATCTGTAAACAAGTATTTTTCCAAGAGCATTGCTTAGTGCGTTAGTTCTACAAATGCTGCTAAGGACATTTCCAGGAATAATCCAGCACATTTGGAAACAGTAAGACTGTCTACGATCTTACCTTTGTTTCCGAGGGAAGTTAGTTAAAGAACTTTTGATGTACCAGACATTGTTCCGGGCACAATGGTTCTCAAGAACTTTACCTGTTGTTTCCATTGAGTTGGGGTGGTTTCCACAAAACAAGATTCCCAAGAGTTGCTCACTGGAAGTTTCCTCATTAAATGCCAGTGAGAGACATAGACTCCCTTCTTAGAGACTCAAGATGTGCCCAAAAGGCCCTGAATAATTCAGAAGAAAATAAACCTGGTTTTGCCCAATTTTATTTACCAGTTTAGAAACTTACTTGATTACTGATTTTTTTGCCCGTAGGGCAAATGTATTTCTTATTATCTGGAGGAGATACTGCTAGCAAAAGTGTTCTTATTAATGGGTAAGACCCTATAATCCTGAGGCCATAGTGACATTCAGTACTACACCTGTGAGTTGAAATTTTATTTGTGCTAGATTTTGTGATCAGTACTATGTGTTCATTTCACTGACCTTTTATAGACTACTTATGGCTTCCCAGACATAAGTTCTGTAAAGTAAATATCCTTCTAATGCTTAAAATAACCTTGTAAAATAGGTAACAAAAATAACATATTTGGTTCCGAGGATTTTGTTGTGCTATCTCATTTAATCCTCAACTACTTTAGGGGTTGGTATTATTTTCCCCATCTTACAGATTCAGGACACAGAAATGTGTCCAAAAGTTACAAAGCTAGCAAGCCCATTAGGCTGCCACTAAACTTTTCAAAACAACTTCTGAACTTTTCCCAGTATATTTTTCTCATGTGCCTTCTCTCCATCCCCAAATTTTAGCTGGTTTGGGATTTTGACACATCTATGGATTAAAAGCTCTGATACATCCTGAAGGAAAAAATTTTAACTCTAATATAGCCCAATAATAAAACTTATTTGACCCAGAGGGGACACAGGAGGACAAATTTTCTCCATTATTTGGTGAAGATACTGTTTTGGAAAACGAATAGCCAGAAAAGTGGTGCTTTTATTATGGCACCACTTAAGAAAGATTTTTTTTCCAGGAAAAATGAGAAAACAAATTAAGTGCTTTGTTTACAATCTCATATTCTCAGCTAAACAAGAGAAATAGGTCTTAATGTGGCCTCTTGTATTGATCTCATTATGTCTTACCTCCGGTCCTCTTGGAAGATTAAGACTTATTACTGAGATTGTTTTGTGAATGTGTGGTTTTGATGATGATGATGATGATAAAGAAAACAGACACAGAATCCCACTGGGGAACGCTGCTGTTGGTACTGCTGAGTGATTAGCATGGATAAAACCATCATGGAAAGAGATCTTATTAGGTTCTAGCTTGTTTCATCGCTCTTTTTCCTGGGGATCTGTGACAAGACTACATGATGTGATATATAATTCTTTATATCGTGGAAGAGTTGTTCTTTCTTATTTATTGATATGAGCAAGGGATATATTCAGTTTGGGTAAATATGTCTTAGGGTGGCTATTGCTATGATAAAGCACTGTGACCAAAAGCAACCTGGGGAGGAAAGGGTTTCTTTGGCTCACATTTGTGGTCTACCATGAAGGGAAGCCAGGGCAAGAACTCAAGGCAGGAACATGGAGGCAGGAACTGAAGCAGAGAGCATGGAGATCGCTGTTTACTGGCTTGCTCCTCCTCAAGGCTCTTTCAGCCTCCTTTCTTAGACCTCCCTAGAACCACCTGTCCAGAGTTAGCAATGCTCACAGAGATCTAGGCCCTCTCACATCAATCATAAATCTCCTGCCTGGTCCCCCCAAAGGTAAAATGACCCACAGGTTTGCCCACAAGCCACACTCTCTCTTGTGGTTTTCTTCTTCTTAATGACTCCGGCTTGTGTCAAGCTGACAAAACACTGGCATTTCTTGAACTTCCTCATTTCAAAATCCTTTCCATTTATCTGTATTGCCATTCCTGGGCTACCAAACTGATTTTAGTGTGAATGAGTTTCTTGGGAGCAGCGCCAGGACACATAGTGGGACAAAGAAATAGAAATGCTTCTTTTGTGTGCCAGTGGGTCCATTTTGGTACCTGCCCTTTTCTCTCCTCAAATACAGGTAAGAACTTTTGTTTTTAGAAATAATATCTTTTTCACCTTGGGTTTTTTTTTTTTTTAAATTTTTTCTTCCAGATAAATAAGAGAACTTTGCTAAAGTGATTTGCTATTTGTTACTCTTGTAAGCTGGGCCAGAGAGCTTCAAAAGAACATTTTGGTCTTCATATGTGGACCCATTGGATGAAGCCTGTCTCTAAGACTATTTCATATGCCTCATTTTTTTTTTCTTTCTTAGTACTAGGGATTGAGCCTAGAACCTTGTGCGTGTCAGGCAAATGCTCTACCACTGAGTTTCATCCTTTCAGCTGTTTTTATTTCTCTTTTAAGAGATTGTGAAATAATGTCATCAAAAATGCTTTGCATTCTGTAATAGGACATTAGATTGTATTTATTTTTAGTTCTAGCCAAAGTCAGGGTACTTAGGCTGCCCACAGAAGTATCCATACCAGGAACAGCATGTTTCTAGTTGTTTTAGGCTTCAGAGGGGCCAAGGGTGGGGTAAATATAAGATATGTGGTGTTTGATAATGGAGAAGCATTCTTAAAGAACATGGCGTGTGAATTCTTTTCCCAGACACGGTACAATTAACAGTGAGAGACAGAAGGCAGGGTCCCAAGCTTGAAGGGTATTAAAGTTGGGTCTATTAAGAATAAAGATAGAGAGATATCGGGTTCATTTTTCATTGTTTCCTCCCATTAGAAAAAAGGATGACCAATGACAGAGCGAGACACTGTCTTTTTTTTTTTTTTAAATTGTGACTAGAAATGTGGTGAGAAGTGATTAGATGTTAAAGGAGGACTTATAAAGCCACCCTCCATAGAGCAGTGTGACCTAGAGGGAGGGCTGGCTTCCCAGGCTCATGCCGGTCATCCTGATTAGGGGCCTAATCGGATTACTATCCTTTGCATTCCATATGTCAGATTAATGGCTTTCTAAATAGTGCTGAATGTGTAGCTCCTCTGTAAGGACACGTTTCATACAGCATGGAACTTTTATAGGCAGTGGGTTTTTAAAGAAGACACGATGTATTCATGAACAGAATAGGCCTCTGAAGGGGGGAATATTTGGTGTGTGTTAGAAGGAGAGAAGAGGGTTTTCTATTTGACTTTCTCCTCTCCTGCCTCAAGTCTCCACTTACAATGAAAGGTGTTACAGAGAGGAAGGCAAATGATTTGAAGAGGGAAGGTGGGGAGCA